AAAGGGAGGCTGGAGGGGATGAGGCCTGGGGGTGGGGACCCTAGAGTCAGGGCTTCAGTTCTGCTCGGGCTGTGTGGCCGGAGGTAAGCGCTTCAGTTTCTCTGGCCTTCCTAAGGAGGTCAGACAGGGTGGCCCTATGTAGAGATGGAGAGGCAGGGCTTTGTCAAGTGTTGGGTGTTGGATTCTGGGATGATACCAGGGGCCTAGCCTGCGGATCATTTCACTTCTGTAGAGTGATGGGTGGGCCGGGAGGGGGTGAGTCCTGCTTGCAAGGTGGTTTCGGCTTGACAATATGGGTGTGTATCTCTTACAGAGTCTATAGGTACCCTAAGACCTGGTGGGGAGAAGAGCTTCCAGGCTGGAAGAGTGGAAAGGCTAGAGCAGCACAGACAGGCTCCTAGCACTGGAGGCTGGGACCAACATGGAGCATGCAGGCAGGCACATAGGCCTTTTCTCCGGTGTAGTAAGGGAGGGATGCCTGAGTCCGCCTGAGTCCATCACCTGCCTTCTCTTCCAAAGTCTGCCTCCTGAGCAGCGTGCCAAGAGCCCGGAGGGCAGCTTTGGGCAGGGGAGGCCTGCAGCATCTGCAGATTACACTCATGGCCATCAGGAAGGCGCAAGTGTAACCAGAGACTCGGCCTCGTAGCTATGACATAGGTGTGTCTGGAGCCCACGCAGAGGCGGTCATAGGTGGCAGACAGGGTTGGGAACCAATAAGGTGGCAGGTTCTTTAGGTCATAGATAGAGCTGCATTCAGGCCCTGGGGCCATGGCTGGGGTTTGGATTGTCTGAAAAAGTCTTTGCTGAAAGCTGTAGGCCAGGAATATCCTGGTGATGCAGCCTGGACACTCAGGCAGCCCCTGTTGGAGGGTGGTGGTGGGTGGGGCCCATCTGTGCCCACCTGCACGTGGTGGTCTCTAGGACTCTACCCAGGGACTGGAGACCAAGGGCCTCAGTCAGATTCTGCACATGTCCCTTTCCAGGTGAGTTTCAGGTTCCTTTGTGCTCAGCTGTCTCCAGAGGCATAAGCAAACCTCACTGTGGTCCACCTTCAGGAGGTTGTGTACTCCAGCCTGTTGCAGCCTCAGGGGATGCTTTGCTGCCTAATGGTCCAGTGGGGGAAACTTGAGGCACATGGGGCTTTGTGCTTTTGTCAAGGGACCATAGCCTGTGCTGTAGAATGAGTGCCCAGGACTCTGAGTCAGGGTATAGTGTGTGCCTCTTCAAGTGGGGTCCCGATTAGCCATCGTGTCCCACAGCTGAGGCTATCAGTGCCCCCAGGTCTCTAGCATCTTGTGGGGGATTCTCCGTAGAGAACAGGGTGGCTATTGAGGGGGAGGCTCTCAATGAGTGAGTCTGTCCTGAGTCGTCCAGCTGGGCTTCTCCTGGCACAGGGCTATGGGTGGCGTGCTGGTCGGTGCTGGGTAGGCTGGGCTGGGCTATAGGCTGGTAAGATGGAGGGTCTGGGTGGGGTGGTGTTACTGGGACAGCCTGGGCGTGCCTGCCAGTTTCCAGGCTGGAAAGTTGAGCCCTGGACTACCCTGCCAGGCACGAGACATAGGAATGTCCCCGACCACTGGGAGTCCCTTCCTGGACCTGTTGTCAACTCTGGAAACAGTTGCTCTACAGGGTCATAGCCCAGAATGCTTTGTGTGGGAAGGAAGGGAGGTTGAGGTAGCAGGCACCTTAGTCACAGGGTGTTCACCTTCGCCTGCTCCCTCCTTTTTACTTGCATGGTGGTGCAGCGGAAACACCAGGGTGACAGGCATGTAGGCATTCCAGGCCCAGGCTTCTCCTTGGCCCTGCCATCGGTGCTGGGATCCCCTTTACAGAAATGGATGATTGGCAGGGCTCAGGGAAGGTCTGTGTTTGCCCTGAAGCCAGGGCGCCCCTTTCGTTCTCCTAGAAGAAAATGGAAGGATTACTTAAAGGAACGTGCAGACCCTAGAAACAAAATAAAACCCTAAAAGTCATCATTCTTAAACGGGAGGCTCCCTAAAACCCACCGCATGATGGGTGGGTTGTACACAGTGCTAAATTGAATCAAATTAAGAAAAAATACTTTCCCAAGCACAAGTAAAATATCTGTTTAATTAGACCATAAAGCGGAAATTAAAAGTAATATTTTGCAATGCAGTAATTACTGTGTCTCTGAAAGCAGTGGGTTTCAGAAGTAACAGGCCCAGTGGCTGGAGATTTGGAGTTAAGATCCTGAACCTGGGCTCAAACCCCTGGGGGCTTGGGCTTCTGGACACTGTGAGCTGCAGGGGTGGCTGGGAAAGGAAGCCAGGTCCTGACAGTTCCTCCTGGACTCCCCCCACCCTGCCCCTGCTGTGTGCTGAGTTCCTTACAGCTAGAGGAAGTTCAAGCAAGCAGGGGTTGCTGGTGGCTGAGGAACCAGGGCTGGCGAGTCTGGTGGCCTGCTGCAAGGCCTTTGTCCAACCTGAGTGAGGGCCTTGCTGGAACATTGTGTATGTGTGTGTGTGTGTGTGTGTGTGTGTGCGCGCGTGCGTGTGTGTGTGTGTGTGTGTGTGTAAGGGAGTGTGTAAAAAAGAGTGTATGTGTGTATGTTTCTGTGTATATGAGTGAGTGTGTGTGTTTGTATGTGAGTGTGTGTGTATGTGAGTGCGTGCATGTGTGTGCGTGTGTGTGTGTGTCCATGTCCTTTCCTGGAGCCCTGACTATACTATGGAAAGCTCAACTCTATTCAATTTCCTCTCCTCTCTGCTGTTCCCAAAGACAAGGTCTTGGGCTTCTCCAGAGTGGGCTGTGGTTCTGAAGGACCCAGCCCCACAGTGGCTCTGCTCTCTGTGGGCCTCAATACTGTGGGTCATGAACCCCACAGTCCACCCCAACTGTAACCTAGTGTGTTTGAGCAGCCTGTCACCCCAGCAGCAGACTTCTCTCCTGTTGTGTGACCAGGACTGGAAAGGTGGCCTGAGGTTTTAGCCACCACCACCCCACGTGGGTGGTGATGGTGGGGAGACCAAAACCACTCACTTGGCTACTTAGACCAGAGGTGCTTGTCACCAACTTGGGTCTTGGCCAAGGGCTCTGGCCCACTAGGAAGTTATGCAGCAGGGACCAGGGTACAAGGCAGCTCTTGGGAGGAGGAAAGCCCCTTGTCTGAGATGCCTGGGGCACAGATGATCCCTCTCCCCCTTAGTTACTGTCCAGTGCCTGGGTGGACCTCTTCTGCTCTTGATGACCGGTCAGGCTTCTCTCCCACTCTCTGCCTAGCTGTGCTGGAGGGGCTTGTGGACTCTCCTCCTCTCTGCCTAGTCCTTAGGCCTAGCTTTCATTGTTGCCTCCTGCTGTGGGGAGGGGAATTATTTCAGAGACTGTGGTCCCTCAGACAGGCAGAGGCCTCCGGGCCTGTTCAGAGGGCCCAGAACAAAGGGGAGCTGGGCCTGGTTTCTAGGCTGGAGCTTGCTGCGCTGGGCGGCCCCTTTCAAGCTGAGCTAATGGCTGCACCAGGCCACACTTCCTTCCTTTGCAGCCTCCTGCTGAGTGGAAAATTGGAGCAGGAGAGCCAGACTGGAAACAGGCCAGCCTGGGCCTGGGTCACTGGCCGGGATCACCCCACCCCAACCTCCACCCCTGTGCCATCTCTGGGGACCTCTCTTGCCCTGCAGGGCCCCCTAGTATGCTTGAGCCTGGTGAATTCCAGGGGCATCAGCTAATGGGACCTGACCCACCAGGTACTTCTCAGCCTGGAAACCATCCAGAATTTATGGAGTATTCCATAAATCAGGCAGCTGCCATAATACTGGGTCTGACAGAGGCCACTCTTTTATCTGCTTTGGGCTCTGGGTGGAAATGGGGCCAAGGAAGAAAAGACCTTCGTCATGATAGGCCCCTTGCTTCTTACCGTGTGGCTGCTTTGGACACAGCCTTCACTGCTTTGAGCATTATGGGCACAGGTGACCAGCCCCTGGGTACGCTGAGGAAACATGCATTTCTGGGATAAATGAGATGCTTTTGTGGGACTGGGGCCCTCAGCCTCCCAGTCTGAGAAATGGGTGTATCTGAGGAGGCTGCTGCATCGGAGTCAGGCGTTGTGAAAAAACCCTCGGAACCTGTATGGTCAGCTGAGTGTATGGAACTGCCTGAAACTGGGCCGAGGCTGGAGGTGGTGGGGTGGGCCGCTGGGAAATGGTCCTGGGCTCTTATCAGGGTGATGGCTGGAGCTACATTAGGTTATGTTTGTCTAAGGGACTGTACTACTTGGGCCCAGACTGGAGAGCAGAGACTTGGATCAGGATGGGTGTTTTGCCTCTAGATAGATCATGCTGAGCCTGGCCAAGCCCCAGTCTCTCTGTGGGAGGTGTCTCCTCATAAGGGTGCTGTGTCCCTTCTGGGAGGTATTGTCCCTCTAAGGGGTTATCCTCCCTCTGGGTGGGAATCTTATCCTCCTGACCTACAGCCCGCTTTGAGGGTCCTCTTCTTGCCTGTCTCTGGACAGTGTCTCTGGGCACCCCTTCTCAGGACAGTGAGCCATGCTTGCTGTCCCTGATGCTATCAGGGTTAGAGATGGCCGCACTCACTCTGGGACTCGACCAGAAGACCCATCCACGCTAGTACCCTGTCTCACTGTGCTCCCAGCATCTACCAGGGCTAGCTGGAGACTGCAACAACAGGGATAGAGTCTCCGTCCCATGAGAGAAAGCTGGGGGGAAGGGAGCCTGGAGGCCACTTCTGGCCAGCCTCCTGCCAGGCCCTGGACCAGTGCCTTTACCCACAAGCTGGTAGTCAGGGAGCTGCAGACGCGTCTTGTTAGCCATGAACTAGCGTGGTTAATGATGGTGGGGAGGTGGGTGGCTGTCAAGGGCACAGGGAACCTCGCTATTAAGTCTGATAATTACCTTCCTGCTGGGCTCATGTGGATGAAATAGTTTGGGCCATAATAGTGTTATAGATGGTGTTGCTCTGGCTACATGGGCTGGGCGATGGGCTCCCTGTGTACCTGAGCACTGATTGCTGTCCCTTGCTGTACACAGGATCCTTGCCTCTCTACCCTGCTGCTTGACAAGCTCCCAGCATCTGGGGTTCAGCCAGCTTGCCGCCCCGAGGCCGAGAGCCGCTGTGACGTATGCACCACGCATCTGCACCAGCTCACTCGGGAAGCCCTGCGCCTGTTACAGACCCCCGCCAGCCACGAGGACCCCGATGCTTCCCGAGGAGGTCTTGCGGCTCCCAGTCCTAGGGACCCACCTGGACCAGGGGGCCTCATGGGGAGGCAGTCCCCTGTGGGACCTGACAGGAGGAAGGCAACAGCTTGGCCACCTGGCCCCAGCGTCCAGGTGTCCGTGGCACCGGCAGGCCTTGGGGGAGCGTTGAGCACAGTCACCATCCAGGCCCAGCAGTGTCTGGAGGGTGTGTGGAGCCTCTCGAGGGTCAACAGTTTCTTGCCACCTACTTGCCTGGTGAGTATCTGGGTAGGTGGGCTGACCGTGTCTGGGTGCCCTATAACGTGGTATTGGGAGAGCCCACTGCAAGCCTGGGGAAACCAGGGACGCTTTTGGCCAACTTTGCTTCTTTGATCTCCTGTGATGCTGTGGGCTGATGGAGGAACCAAGGATTCCTGGGAAGAGCATTGTCTGGTCTTGGGTTTCGAGAGAACATCTTTCTTTGAGAACCTGCTGTGACAGGCTGTTCTCAGAGGCACAGGTTGGGTCACATAGACCTGCCCCATGGATGGAAGACAGAGCCTAGAGTATACAGTGCGGTTCACAGTTGTTGGCGTTGATGTTTAGGTTGAAGGCCTGGATCCCCTTAATCCATCTCTGAAGCCCCTGGCCAGGATTTTCTGGGGCCCTGCCTATGTGCACCTCGTCATATCCCTTGAAGTCTTTACAACTTCCCGTGTCCCCAGTGTTCTACCTGGTTCAAGGAGTTCCAGGGTGGAGGCTGAGAGACGTGTGCTGTCGGCCTAGAGGTTTCCTCGGGTGGGTATGACGGATGATCTGTCACTGGACCCTGGGAGGGCCGACATCACCAGGGCCCAGCCAGCACTCTACACAAACCCTGCTTGACATAGCCTCTTCTCCAGGGGCACCGCGCTGAAGGCACAGCCACCTGCTTGTTGAGGACTTAGTCTGAGGGCCCACAGTGCCCAGCAGGAGGGCAATGTACTTTGGACTGTTGGTCTGAGTCTGTGCGCACCCCCCCCATGACTGTAGTGGGAGAAATCCTTTAGGTAGAGAAGGTATAGATAGATTTATCAGGAATGAAGCACTGAAGGCTTATGGGAGAAGGGGCGGGGCCGGGGGGGACATGAAGCAAGGCAGGGAACAGACTGCTGTGGATCCTGTGTGCTTGGCTATATGGAGTAGCACTCCCTCCCGCCCCTCCCCCGTGTGTTCCCTGGTTGCTCCCTGGGCCTCTGACAGCAGAGCATCCTGTAGGTGTTGCTAAGGGATCCTGCTTCTGAGGTAGAGTTTCAGGTGTGCATTTCAGTCATACGGCAGCCAGCTGTGTAGGCTTGAAAGAGTTGGTTGACTCTCACCCCTGGTCTGTGTGTCCAGTGGCATTTCACGGAGATGGGCAGAGGTGTACACAGCCACTGGGCAACGCTGATATAAGCTCCCATGTAAGGAAGGCTCCTCCCACTGTCCTGACTGTAGGCCTCTCCGAGGTGGGTGCACCTTATCGGCTGGACTTTGCTCTTGGATGTGTGCTGTGCTGAGAATTCTGCTCAAGCTGGAGCTGGTCCCTGGGCTTTGTTCAGGGGCTCATTTTTTGAGGCCACCCATCCTTTGGGTTAGAGAACCATGCTGATCATGGCCCAGCACTCTTCTCTTACCAAACTGAAGGGAGGCCAGCCAGCTGTTCTGTCTTCTTGGGGCTTTGACCCAACAGCTGGGCTGCCTGCTAGAACCAGGGCTAGGGTGCAGATGACCCTGACCGTTCAGGCAAGTTAAGTAATTCTTTGAGGAGGTGACATTGAGCTAGATCTTAAAGGAAGCCTTAGGTGACATGCTCACACCTAAGACACTGACCCAAAGGGATGTGGGTGTCCCCACTGATTGGCCATAGCCTTAGGTCTGAGCCGACATCGAGCAAGGCTCATGCTGATGGTCTTCATGCTTTGGGGTGGTGATGGGGGAAGATGCCGGGAGGGTCGGCCATTGGCTTTTGGTTAGGCAAGCCTGGCCATGGCCTACGGGCCGTAAAGCGTGGGCGTTTAAGGCCCCTGCTTCTCATTTCACGTGCACATCGATTGTGTTCGGGAAAAGGTGGGAATGGATTTATAATTAGAGAACAGTCCTGGCAATCAATAGGGAGATTATTAGAACCATAAATAGAACTTTAGGCTGCAGATGAGGCAATGTCCCTTGAAGCAGGGCGTCGATCACTGATGATCAAGTACTGCCTGGGTACTCTGCTATTAAACACTTCTGGAGAAATGGGTTGTGAAGCTGTCACAAATGGCTGGTGGCCTTTGGGGCCATTAGGTGGCTTGATTCCCACAGGTGGTTCAGACATCCTGGCCCGCATCTATCGCACAGGGATGAGGAGCGGAGGGCCAGGAAAGTGGCTGACTCAGGCAGGAGAGTTGGTCCTTAGAGGGGATGGTACGACCTATGACTCCAGGGGCCCTCTGGAGCCACAGGCAAGGCCTGGAACATTCTAGGTGCTGAATGTGAGGCATCTGGGTGTTACTGTGGTCCAGTTGTCCTCGTAGCCCTGAGTTTCCGAGGGTGGAGAAGCTGTTGGCCTACACAGCTTTGTTTAACCAAGGCCACAGCTGCATCTCATTTGGGTTTGGAGAGAGAATCTCCCTTGGAGGAGACTGCCATGACGGGCGTCCTCAGGGCATACATAGATCTATCTGCCCCAGGGTTGGGTGACAGGGTACACAGTGACACACCTGACATGTACAGGTTGAAGGATGTCCTTCAAACCTCCCCTCCCACCAGTAACCCCTACGAGGGCCTGGCTGTTAACCTTTGCTCAGAGAGGGGTCCTTCCCTGGTCATTTTGCCACGGAGCGTCCATTGCTCTGGAGCTCCCAGGAGATTGTCCCTACTTGTCTCTCTAGAACAGTGATTCTCAACCTGTGTATCATGATGGCTTTGGTGGGTCAAAGGATCCTTTCCCAGGGGTTGCCTGAGACTGTGGCGTATCAGATATTTATGTTATGATTCGTAAGAGTAGCAGAATTACAGTTATGAAGTAGCAACAAAAATAATTTTATGGTTGAGGGGGTCACCACGTGATGTGAGGAACCAGATTAAAGGGTCACAGCTTTAAGGTTGAGAACTACTGTTCTAGAAAGTCAGGCAGAGACACTGTTGTAACAGATGAGGAGCATTGTCTCGTGTGGTGTCCCCAACGCCAGCTTATGGCGTGTCCCACAATCAGAAGCCCGCCGATAGAGGTCAAGAAACCTGTTCTCATCTTGTATCGGAAGCTTCAGGACAGGACTGGACCCCTGACCCTTTGGTTGGTTTGAGATGGCATAGTTCACATCAGAGGGGCCTCAAGGAGCCAGGCCTCCCCACTGCGTGGTGGTTGGGTGACACTGTCCTCGGGGTGCCTGCTTGCGTCCCACTCGGGGCTGTGCAGAGAACCGGCTACCATAGAGAGCTTAGGTGGATGTTAGAGGAGGGGAACTCCCTCTGAGCTATAGCCTGGCTGTCGATGGAACCGTCCTAACTTGTTGCTGACACCCCTGTCCAGGCCTCAGTTTAGCCACCCATGTAGTGAGGGTTGGTGAGATGGCCTTCTCTTCTGTGTAATGAATGCCCCAGTGAAGTTGCTTCTGTGATGTGGTGGGCACAATGCACTAAAGGTACAGGACTTCTCTTCTTACACCAGGCCCTGGAGGCCTCTGGGTAATGAGGCCTGAGAAAAGGAGCAGGCAAGCAAGAATGAGGATGTAACACTCTCTACAGGATGCTAACCCCCTCAGGTCTATACTCTTGCCTCATGCCTAGCCCTGAGCCTCCGGGCTGCTTCTCATTCCCTCACAGGACCACCTGGCAGGGTATTGGTGGGGGAGGGAGTCCTAGAAGGCACTGTGCTTCCCAGCCAGAATCCCATAGACGCAGAGCTCAGGCCTAGAGGGCTGCTGAGGTGGGCTGGTCTATGTTTCTTAAACTGGGGTCCACAGATCCCGGCTGTTCCACAGAGATCAGCCGACAGTGGGTGAGTCCACTTAGGGTCTGCAGTGTCTTGCCTCCATGTGGGCCCCATCAAGCTATGATGAAGTCAGAGCTCTGTAGCTTCCCCCGGCCAGGGCTGGCCTCACGCTCTCCTCTCTCCATGCTTTTCCTTTGTTGCTGCCATGTGCCTCCATCACGCTTTCTGTTTGGCCGTCCACCCACATCCTCCCTGTGTCGTGGTCCCTCTCCCTCGCCCACACCACTGCTGCTCTGCACTCGCTTTGGGACAGCTTCTTTTGGCTTGCCCAGGCTCTGCTTCTGGCAGGAATTGGCAGTGGCCCTCCTAAGGGACAGAGCCGTGTTGTCATGGCAGCTGGTGGGACAGTGGAACCAAATCACGTGCGGGACTCCTGAGACAGGTCAGTGTGGGGAGGACCAGTCACACAGGTGGGTCGGCCGGCTAAAGGGACCGGTACCTCTGGAGATGTCCCTGGGGGGCTGGGCCTATGGGGGTGGGTAGAAGGGCCATGTGGGGGATGGGACAGCAGCTCTGCCTCCCTGCAATGCCTCCTGCTTCGGTCCTCAGTGTCTGGCAGTTGGACTAGGTGTTGTGGGACCGTGGGCATGAACCCCAAGCACTGCTGTCACAGACTGCCGAGCTAACTCTAGGTTAGCTGTGAGCTGTACACCTCTCCTCCCCAAATTCCTAACCCTGGGCTCTGGCTGCTTTAGCTAGTAGATGCTCAGCCTCATCAGGCTGTGCTCCAAAGAACTCAGACCACAGATTGTTAGCCTTATAGCTTATACACTAATTCTTCTCTATGCCATTCTTCCCGACTAAGCAGTTGAGTCTTTCATAGTAAGTGATTCAAAACAGATCCACATTGGGGTGGTGACTCGGAGAAGAGGGCTGGGTTCTGGGGCATGTTTAGGGACCATTGTCCTATACATCTCTACGTACGTAGGCATGTCTATAGGCATGTTGCTGATAGATGTTTGGTGCAGTGTCTGGTAAGCCTCTCTAGGTTTGCCCTTTTCAGCTATGGACCTTTTGAGTCCTGGGGTACTGGGTGCTGCTGGGGACTAGGAAGGGGCTGGGCTGGCACTGTCTCAAGGCTTGGACTAGACCTGAGACTTTAGAAGCTGGGATCCTCCAGGGGCTGAGCAAAGTGAGGAGGGAAGCTGTCCTGCGTTGGTAAGGTCTCTGGGTACAAGGTGGCTTGTTCTACAGAGGTGCCACACCTGGTGTCAGGGCTATACATCCTTTGAGAGGCCCTGGGAATACTGACTCATCCCAGGGTCACCAGACCAGGCCTGTGCCCTCTCAGCCTGGGAGTCCCAGCCTTCTGTCATCTGGGACACAGGGCATATTGGCTGAGTGGAGAGGGTGTTTTGGAGCTGGATGGGCCTGGGGCTTTCTGGGAAGAGACCAGCTGCCTGTTGTTTTCTGCTAGGGCTTGAGTCTCCTCTGCCCCCAGAGCCTGCGGGGCAAATAGACATCATGTGGAAGTTGTCCTGGGAACATTTAATTATATCTGTGCACCATGCGGAGGCCTCTCCCTTTCTAGAATTTATTTTAGCTAATTAGTTGGAAATGCCAGAGTTGTATTTCAGACAGTAGAGTGTCATCCGTTATCACACGGGGGACAATTAGCACTCGTGCCAAATATTTATTGTGGTGCCTTGTATAATTGTGCCTCTGGATGCTCCCAGGTGGCCCAGGGATGAGGGGCAGAGGTCTGTCTCTGTCTGACCTCCTTGGTCACTTACAAGGCTTGAGAAGAGCTGTAGAGTCAGCCCTGGGTAGGGTCTGCATTTTCCTCCGTGGCTGGGGTTGACCTGTCACATGCCCTGAGCTGGGGACATGATTCCTGGCAGATTGCCTTGGAGGCCAGGCCTCTTGTACAGGGTCCCAGTCTCCTAGCTGTGACTTCCAGTCACATAGGGAGGATTTTGCAAGTTCATGTGTATGTGTGTGTGGGGGGATTTTAAGTGAGGGTATTCAGCCTGCCAGTGATGGGTCTGTCACCTGCCTGTTCCTTATGTGGATTTCTCCTTCCTCCAGGCTGAGGCTGCTGTAGCTGCTGTGGCTGTGGCCGACACTGTCCGAGACTGTTCCCCAACAGCAGGTTCTGATCGAATGTCTAAGGCGTGGGGCCGAGGGGCAGCATGCACTACAGCCCTGGTTACTCCAGCCCCAGGCACCTCAGCAGGGAGTTCCACAGGTCCATCGGCAGCGGCCTCTTTCTTTATAAGGTAGGTCCTCTGGGGTCACACAAGCTGCAGTGTATTGTGGTGAATGGAGGCCTTGAGTTCTTGGTCCCTGGTGGCGTCTGACCTATTCTTGGGAGAAGGATCTGTGTGGCTCAGTTGGTGGAGGAGTGGAGGCTGTGAGAATCCTGACTGGCTTCCTGGGACATCTTTCAAGGGTACCTGTTTAGGTCCTAGAGCTTGGGTAGGAAGAAGTGATGGGGTTGTAGTTTGACCCCTTCCCTCCAGAATGTCTCCCTTGAGGATGTGAGATGGTGTGGCTGTAGTGGTCTGGCCAGAGGGCGAGAAGTACTTCAAGGTGGGAGGTGAGAACAGGACACCCTCTCCCTGAGTTTGGCCAGTGGATGGGTGGGCTAGCTTTGGCCAGTTGGAGAGAGTTTCCCTGACCCAAGGCAAAGCCTTTGGTTCTGCAGACCCAAGGATGGAGTCTTACTCTCATCCAGCAGCCTGAGGGAACGGGGATTACAGGATGTAATCGCCATAATGAGAGGTAATGGCAGCCAGCTGGGGGTCACTGTCCCATTAACAGCCCGAATGGGCGCTGATAAGCTTGTCTGTATCATGCTGGGCAGTGTGCAGAGGCTTTCTTATCAGCCCTGGTCCGGGGGGACTTGAGGGCCTGATGGGGGGGCGTGACGGGGCATGTGATTAGGGCATTGTCAGGGCTGGCTGATGAATGCCGCTGTGCGGTGTGCACGACCTCCTGTGACTGATGCAGCAGCCTCAGCAGCCAACCCAGTCAGATGCAGAGAACCTGGCTTCCAGATGGGGACAGCCTGCCTGGGGGCCTCCCGGGTGCCAGCAGCAGTCAGGGTGGTGTCTGGGGGGGTGGGGGCTGGACATGAGGGGCCGATAGCTGGCCATGTCCTTACCCTGCTCAGTTCTGATTCCAAGGGTCTTTGCTTTGAGGATTTGGTGGCCCGTGTGACAGCTACAATCCTGGCATGGTACTAGGTAAGAGGTCTTGAAATGCTCAGATCTATTGAAAAGTGTTTGCATGGCCATCAGTCCTGAGTTTGGGTACCACCTAGCAACCTGATTCTGAGGCCCCTAGTGCCTGAGGAGGGTCTTGACACAGCGTGTGTGATGTGTGTGGCCCCCTCTTACTGGCTCATTAGCCACTCTGCCCGGCAGCAGGCGGCAGCTGCTGGCTGCCTTTTGTCTCTTTCCAGGCTATGAAGGTTCTTCTGCCTGAGCAACACCCTGACCTTGGAAAGTTACCATAGAAACAAAGAAACAAGTGGACTTGGGTGGGGGGCTGGAGGCAGGTTTCCCAAGGCGTGCGAGAGAGAGAGAGAGAGAGAGAGAGAGAGAGAGAGAGAGAGAGAGAGAGTGTGTGTGTGTGTGTGTGTCTGTGTGTGTCTGCGTGTATATGGGGGTGGTGTGGGAGCCACTCTGAAGACCAGTGGCTTCCTGACCTGTACAATGGGCGTCCTCTTGAGGGTCAAGTTTAGGGTAGATGTTTCTGCAGGTGGTGTCCAGGAGGCCTGAGATTGCTAGTAGGAGGCTCACTCCAGTGAGCTTTGAAACTTTGTAACGGCTACCTGGCATTGTGGGTAAGGGAGAGGCATGGGGTTGGAGAGGGGCTTGCCCAGAGTGCACGGGGAGGCAGTAGAACTTCAGCCCCACCCCATGGCTCATATTGAGTAGGTGCTGTTCCTGCCTTCATCCTCTGAACCTGGACGAGAGGAGCCATCCTCACCCATCCCTTGGGAGTTTAGCACAATGTGGGTGGGGAGGTGGGGAGTCTGGAATCTGTGAAGGTGGCCTTGGATGAAGGTCAGATCAGAGTGGGCTGAGATGTAGCGGCCGGGGCATCTTTGTTGTCCACAGAGGGCAGGTTCTCAAATCGTACAGTCCTGAGGGCTCTGCACTTGCCCTGACTGTTCTCTTCAGGCTGAACAACCAACTCAAGTCATCCTCAGCCACTTCAGTGTGCCATACCCACATGAAGCACACTGTAGTCTCAAGGGTACAAAGGAGTCTGGGAGTTGGGGGAGGGATGGAGTACCATCCCCTCTGCTGGACCCGTGGTTAAGCACTGACTGGCTATACCTCCCCAGTCAGAAATTTGAGGCCTCACTCCGTGGGGACTGCCGTGACCCTGACATCCATGTTCTAAACCCTCTGACTTTTCAGCCTCCCCGTTTCTGATACTCCCGGATGGAGTATTAGCTCAGCCCGCCTGCCTAGCTATCCCCCTGCCGTTGGTAACTATGGGTTACCCCTGGCACCCAGAATCTAGATATTTTGGGAATATCTGTCAAGGGGAGGCATCTTTCAGGTAGGTGTGGGGCAGGGAAGCATGGTCCTTCCTAGCCTCTCTGAGGCCCAAGTGTCTTCCTGGACCTACGTCTGGGCCTAGCTGGCAGAGGTACAGAGGCTCTGAACTTGGCAAAAGGATCTCTCACTTGCTTCAGCCTCCGGGTAAGGCCCTCAGGTGACATCAGACCCTGGGAGGCCTTCGGTAGCAACTCTCTCTAATTGTCTTGAGTTCCTTTAGCTGTTTGACCCACCGAGCAGCTCCCAGTGAGCACTCTAGGCCCTCATGAGGCAGATCCTGCAGATGGCAGGTCTGTAGAGAAGGAGGCTCGATGTGCGGCCTTCCGGTACCCGGCAACCTCTCAGCTTAGGGAGGCTTTGGCTTGGCAGCGGCTGTTCACTCCGAGGGAACAGGCTGCTTTTCAGATGTTCAGAGATCTCAGTGTTAATCCCAGTTGCCTCTAAAGTACCTTCCTCTTTGAAAGAGAAAAAAAAATTTTTTCTTTCTGTTCTCACGAGTCAGTGACCGGAAAAAAATGATGGATCTGAGGTTGCTTGCTGTTCAGGCTGGCGTTCACATCCTCAACAGAGGTGTTCTCCAGGCTTCCTGTGAGCTCAGGCTTGGCTTGGTTGCTGTCTCTCTAGAAGTCTCAGGCAAGAGTGGTTCTGTAGAGTAGAGAGCTTAGGACTGGGGTCTGCATTGGGGCATCAGGACAGGCTTCCTAGAGGTGGTGTCCCTGAGGGTGAGAGCTGTTTGGAAGCTCCTGCCTTTTTTGTTTGTTTGTTTGGTTCGTTGGTTGGTTGGTTTTCCATCAGGGGATGACTGCTCAGATCTTCCCACTCCTCCCTGTATACCCCAATGCCCCAGGGTTGCTACCTCCTAACAGTGTGGTGGTTTTAGTGGCCCTGGGTTTGATAACCTATCTTTTCTTAGCCTTGGTGAGACCAGGAGTTTTTGTGTTCTCGATGCTTAGAACCCAGGTTTGTGTCTACCAAACCAAGATTCTCAGGATCAGTCCTGGCCTCTGGGACTCCCTAAAGTCCCATGCAAGCCAAACCCTGGAAGGCTTGGGGGGGGTGTGATAGAAATCTGTCCATTTTCATCAAAGATGAGATACTTGTCCCGGTACATCTGTCAGGGGCCTGTTGTGAGTCATTTACTTGGTGAGTGCTGAGCCATAAAACAGGGACCTGGGGGCTGGGCCTGCTCGAGCAGCTGCTGGCTTCCGCCTCTCTGAAAGTCAGATTAGACCCAAGAGGTGCCCAGGTCAGCTGATGCCTGTGCTGTGGTCTCTTGGCTTCTGAGGGGACCACCAAGGGCAGGGTTGTCACCCAGCAAAGCCTGCCTTGTTCCTAGCTGCCATCTTATTCCAGCTATCTGTCCTCTGCTGGCCTCTATATGTCTTGAGGTATGGGTCCCCCCCATAGCCTTCTTTAAAGGTTGCACTCTGGCCCTGCCTGACCTATGGAAAGGCCTGGGGGCAAGACACAGCTGTAAAGAGCTGGTTCAGAGTGGGCGTGCCTTGGCCTCTGTTGTGTGCTGACCAATGTAGACACTTGGCGGGGGTGGGGAGGACCCTCTCAGCCTCTGGCCTGGGAGAGTATTTGGCAACCACTATGTACTGTCTCCAAATCCTAGGAACAGGTTTTCTTTGCACCTACTTACAGGCAAAACAGCTACTCCAGGAAGCCTCGTTGTCCTGCCCAGGCAGCCCTGGGCAGTGCCAGGCAAGGGGGTCGTGATTTCCCTGTCCTGATCATACCTGGAAATGACACTGCTTTCTGAGGCAGAACTGACACTTCTCTCTCTGGAGGCTGTTGGGGTGGGATCTGGAATTGGGGGGCCCAGATGGGGAGTTGGAAGTCTTGAAGAGCCCCTGAGCTGGTGCTGGCTCTGTCTGCTTTGGCCCTTCCTGGCCACTGCCCATGCCCTGTGACCCCTACAGGAGTAGTTTGGGACACTTGAAGCCTTGACCTCACAACTCTCAGTATACGAAGTGGTAGATGACAGTGTCCACCTCTCTTGCCTGTGGTTTTCCGTGTGCTGCTTCTACGAAGGGGCTGAGTAACTGAGACACTTTCTCATGAGGCTCATTTGAGCTTTGCAGACACAGGCTCAGGCAGGTACTAGGCAGATGCTTAGGACACCCCAGGGTGCAGGTGCCACCATTGGCCAAGAACCCGGGTTCTGGGGCCCAAGGTCTTCCTGAGCAAGAGACTGCCACTCCCTTCTTTGGCCAGTCTGTTAGCACACGGGTGCCGCTGCGGCTCCGTTAAAGACTCTGCCATGGGTCGTAGATTACTTTTATTTTCTGTGATGACACCTCACTAGGAGGAAGCTGTCCCTGGGGCCTCTTAAAAGACAATTCCTATTAAAGATGAGAGGGGTTACCAGAGCACCGGCAACATGGTAGGAGGTGCCAGAGGGGCCCCAGGCTCTGGGCTCCTGCATGTTGGATCCTCCTGAGGAAGAAAAAGTGGGACCTGGGAGGCCTAGAGGGATGGGTGTGGGTTGTGGTGGGGGTGGGAGACATCTGGGGATGTTGGGGAGAGGTGGGACTGGTTAGATAGCTTCTCATCCTGGTCACCTGCCCCCCCACCCAGGTTTCCTCCTTTGGAAAGTGGTGACAGGCCCCGGGAGGGAGAGTGGCTCAGTTTCTTGGTGTGTGTAATATAATATGAATATAATATAAACTCTAGTGATATTCTTGGGTCTCTGTGTTGGAGGTGTGGGTTGGGTCGTGTAGTTTTCATGGTCCATAGGCAAGGTAGGAGCCTGAGACTTGGCTAGGGGACTTTTCAGGGGAAGGTATATACCGGGGTGGGGGGTAGTGGAGACAACTGTTGCAGGGGTCTGGGGGCTGCAGGAAAGCCCATCCCAGGACAGACGCCTGACCCTGTATCCCTGGAATAGGGCCAGCTTGAGGAAAGGTGTGGATAGGTAGAATCAAAGCCTGTGACTTCAGAGTTCAGCATAGAGCAGAATGTGGTCCAGTGTCTACATGGACTGTCTGCCTCCTGTCCTGCCTGTGGCCCCAGCCTGGGCCCCACTCAGAAAAACGGAGTTCATGCTGTGCGACTGTAAGGCAAAAAAATGTCTGGCTTGTTTCCTCAGAGTGACTCTCCACATGGATGACAGGGTCTGAGGTGGGCCAGCCTGCTGTGGACATAGGCACAGTGCCTGAGTGACAGGGGTAGCTGTTGGTACACTCTGAGCCCTCTCCTCTCCTTCCCAGGGCTGCCCAGAAGCTCAGCTTGGCCTCCAAGCGCAAGAAGCATCACCCACCACCTGCGCCATCCACTCGAGGGACATCCACGTACCCCACAGACTTCAGTGGCACTCTGCAACTGTGGCCACCCCCGGTGCCCCCCTGCCTGCTCAGGGCAGCCTCTAAGGCCAAGGAAAACCCCAGCAGCTTTGGAAAGGTAGGTCCCACCTGAGGTCCGGTGCCTTGATGTGGGGAGGCTGGGGCTCTCTGATAAGATGTGGAAGATAGAAAGCCCCACTTTCTTCTCCAGGGTCCCAGTAAGACAGCTGGCAGAGCTAAGGATGGGGAGCCTGAACCTCTGGGGTGCAGTGCCCAAAAGGGCACGGGGAACCTCTGGGGTGCAGTTCCCGAAAGGGCACAGGGAGTCTGGCACTGTGAGAAATTATGAGAAGAAACTTGTCCTCAGGTCGCAGAGGCTTGTTCCAGGATAGCCATGTGGCGAAGCTTCTGGGCCTTGGGGTGGGGGTTGACCGTTCTTGCTCACCCCCACCAGATGCTGCCCTGAGTGGGAGTGGGTTGGATTCCTCAGCCTTCCTGAGTCAGTTATCCAGGCAGCCCAGACAGATGGAGAAATCTGAGGTCTGGGAAGGGTGTGAGCCCTGTGTGGTGGCTCGAGTTTCCCCCACAAGTTCTGATCTGGTTCCTATGGTTGGTACCTATCTGGGGGGTGGGGGGGGAAGTTCCTGTACTCTAAGCTTACTGGGCTACTCCTGTGGCAGGATTCTGCAAATGATGCTTGGGTGAAGTGGAGAGCCAGACTTTCAAAACCATTGTGGGAGGGTTTTGCTGATCTCTGGTCTGCTCCAAGTGTGGAGTCCCCTCCCAGGCATCCTGAGAGTTACGGAGTAGGGCCTGCTCAACCTAGCCCAGTGCAGTCGTCCCTGAGTTGGCACTAGCCCTGCATGCTTGAGTCCTGCGCACATGGTCAGCACTGGCTAGTGAGGGTAAACTCCTAACTAGGTACCAGAAAGGAAGCCATGTGTTCGCAGCCTTCCTTCCCAAAGGGAGGCCTCCTCCTGTGGTAGAGCCCCAGAGGAAGGAAGAGCTCTCCAGACAGGGCTGTCCAGACGGGCAGCTGCAGGCGGGTGGGAGGGCCTGGGGCTCCTTCGGGCCTACTGACGTCACTGTGTGCCCTTTTAGCATCTTGTGCTCCTTTCGTTGCCCCCCTCTCAGAATGCTAATTGGTGGCTGGAAGCCAGGTCTCCTGGCTCCTCCCTTCCCCTGGGATGGGGCCACACCCCATGGTTTCCTCAAGACAGTCTGCTGGAGGTAGCCTCTGATGGAGGGGAATATGGGAAGTAGACTGGCCTAGGGTTGAGTGCAGGCAGTTGCCATGGGAGCCAGATGTCCAGCATGGCCAGGCCAGGGAGTGTAGTAGAATTGACTCAGAAAAGCCTCTGAATTCTGGACCCACCTCCAGCTGTGCAGACCTAACCAGTGACCTGCTCCTGCCTGAGTCACTGTATTGCAGTGGGGTCTAGTTGGCAGCTCAGCTGTCCAGGGCCTGTCGTGTTCGTTGAAGGTCTGTGTATAAACAATTGTTCAGTCCCGGGTGGGTGGGGTGCAGGCAGGGCATGAGCAGGGCAGAGGCAGCCTGCCTTCTTTTAGGACAGACTTCTTGTGTCAGGTACCTGCTTCTGTGCCTACTCTGTCGGGAGGAGTGGTGCTCCTGACCCCCACTGCCTGTGCCTGCCAGTCCTCGGCTGCCCCCCCTTTCACACTGGCAATGTTTAATAGATGAGGCTTCAGCACTGTCTAGTGACAGGGAAGGAGAGAGACTGGACCCAGGCCTGACTGACTTGAACACCCCAATCTCTCCCTGCTACAGTTCTAGGGCAGACAGGTGCTTCCCACTGTCCAGGCTGTCACTGTTTGGGCTGTGTGGGTACAGGGCTGGGCTGAGACCCGGGGAAGAAAGCCGGGCCCAGAACCAACCTGATCAGTTAGCCTGTCTGCCCACCTGGCTTCTCTTCCTCAGGGGCTGTGGTGGGTACGGAGTGTCTGCTTTAGGACTGGTGGGGTAAGGAGTTCCAGTCAAGCTCCAAGCGACAGCTCTTCCTTATCAGCACTGTATTGGGGGCCTGCCAGGTCTCTGTCACCTGTGGGAGGCACTCAGCCTTCTTGCTGCTGATCCTGGACCATTCGGGGCTTGCCCCCAGAGACCAGGTGTCCTGGCCACCAGCCTGTTAACCAGCCCCTGTCCCTCATACCTCTGTACCCCTCCCTGGCCCTAGGTGTTATTAGCACTAATGTCACATCACCAGAAGCACCTCCTGAAAGGCATTTAATATTGCCACAGAAAAGAAGTTAGATTACATTCAGTGTCTGACATTAATGTGCTACTTAAGGTAATTCATCATACTGTGGTATTAAAAAAGACATCTCTGGTGTTGGGTGCTGAGTGGCGCCCCTCCTCCTCCCCAGACTGGTCCACCTCTGGGGAGCTGGAAGCCCTGCTTTTATGGTTTTTTTTTTTTTTTTAAAAAAAACGTGCTTCCCTTCCCCCCACCTCCCCCAGCTCGCGGCTTTGTGATATCTGCACATTTAGGGGGTGAAGATGCTCTTGTCTCCTGAGAGGACCCTGTCATTTCCCTGAGGTAATGACAGGTTCCTTCCAGCAGACAATGGATGGGGGCAGTGGGGGGCAGGCTGGACGAGATGCCCTGCTCAATCCCCTCCCTGCCTGGAGACTCAGGATCCGTGTCTGCTCAAGAGGCATCAGGAGACATCAGAGCCAAATCGTAGCTCCTCCAGGCCTCTCCTCCCCACGGAGGCAGCCTCTCACATCTCCAGAACCCATTTGGCTCCTGGAGCGGTGAGGAGTTCACGCTGGAAAAAAAAAATTGCCAAAAATTACCTGGAAGTGCACATTTTCGTCTGCGCTGCGCAGTGGTTGGAAATGAAACCGTTTTGTTCATGTCGCCGGGGAATAAAAGAATCGATTCTTGCCCTGATAGAGCCCAGGTTCTGAGTAGCGCAATAGCCAAGGATTTCTTTGCTCCTCTCTCTCCCCAGAGGGTGGGACACTGCACTCCACGGGAGGCTGTGCATATCAATGTGTCCCTTGTCCGGTGGGAGCGAGCCTGTGGCGTCTGGGCAGGCTACCCCCCAAACCAATTTTGCAACGTTATGTATCTGTCACTTGCAATTAAATCCTTGAAAAATATTGGTTCTGAAATGAGTCTTGGTAATTTGATTTACACCAATGTGGAGAAGTCAGAGATTTCATTGGAGAGTGAAAGGTGTGGCCTCCAGCCAAAGGGGAGTTCTGACTCAGGGCGGCCTTGAGAAAATAGTGCCTGCCGGCCTCACACCTGCCCCAACCTCCTCCCCTTCACCTGTGGGGAGTATCCATTCTCCACACAGGTTTCGGGGTGCTGCAGTGAGGTTTTCTTTGGCATCCTTATATCCTCTGTTGCATTTTCATTGAGGGGTTCAGGGCCTGGCATGGCACAGGGCACCTTGGAATCTCCTTTGTGTTTCTGCCATGGCCCAGGCTAACTAGTCAATAGCAGAGCTCCGGGAACTCAGGTCCACCTTTGTCTTCTCTTCCACACCCCCTCCCACCCTCAGTTTCCCCAAACTGGGGCTTGTTAGGCAAGATTTCAGGATTCCCTCTTCTCAGATTGGGTCCTCATTCCAGTGGAATTTCCTCCACTTTTTGCCTGTTGTAGTTTCTCTCCTCCATGCTGATGGCTTCCTGAGTTAGTTCAACACAGAGGTAGCAAGCGTGGAGTTTCTCCCCAGAGCCTGGCCCTCCGAGGCTCTTCACCCCTCTGTGGCTTTTGTTCATTGTGTATCCCACGGGTGTGCCTGTTGTCTTCCTGGGATGCAGAGTCCTTCCTTGGACGACTTTGGCCCAAGGCTGTTGGTGATGGAGGATGAAGGCCCCTGAAGCAGAAATGCCCAGGGCCCCAAGGGATCTTCCTTTCTGTTTCTGCCAACTGACCTCTGCTTCCCTGCCTTGCCCCGTCTCCTGCTGTGCTGACTGGCCCAGCACCCCACCAGCCTTACCCCCACCCTGGGTTTCATTTTCTCTCTACCCTGCTGACCTCATGTGGGATCCGTTCAGGCAGCATTCCTGTGGTATCGGTACCCATGCTGAGACCTGGTCTACCGTCCTGACTCGTGCTTCCTTCCCCTGCCCTGTAATTAGTGGCCAGCTGGGTGGAGGCTGGAGCTCAGATGCCTCCTTCTGCCAACCCCCAGGTGAAGGTTATGCTGCGCATATGGCCAGCACAAGGAGTCCAGCGCTCAGCCGAGTCCACATCCTTCCTGAAGGTGGATTCTCGCAAGAAGCAGGTGACGCTCTATGACCCGGCTGCCGGGCCTCCAGGCTGTACAGGTCTCCGGCACGCCCCCACGGCGCCAGTCCCCAAGATGTTTGCTTTTGACGCCATCTTCCCTCAGGACTCGGAACAGGTACGGTGGATGGGAACTCCCGGGTGCTTGTGACAGCATCAAATCTGATTGACTTCCGTAGACTGGGAGCCTAGCTGGGCTGTTTTGTCTGCCAGGTCTGCCTTTCCTAGTAATCCTAGCCCGGGACATTTCCCCAGCCTCTGCCTGGTCCTCCAGGCTGGGGGGAACACAGAGTTCTTCAGAGCCTATTCCCCTACGAAATTTTTGAGTATCCATGTTCTGCCCTGAAAGCTAGGGACACTGGATGCCCACCCAGCTTACTGAGCAGTGACCATGACTTCCTTGTGGGAAGCAGCTTTCAGTGTTTCAGCTGGGTGTTTGGACATAGGTGCCTAGCTGGGACACCCTACCTGTGTTGTGTATGTCTCGTCTGCTGACTTATATAAGTGCATATAGAAGTTCTTACATATGTCCTGTATTTTTGTACAAATGTGGGAGAGCCCTGTGTAGTTCAGCCTCCCTGTGGACTGTCTGCCCACATGTGACCAGGGCAGATGGGTCTTAAGCTTAAGTGTATACAGGCGTACCAGAAGGCACTGTCCACAGCCCTTTGGCTCAGACACCTGCCTAATCCCCACGGGTTCTTTCCTAGGCTGAGGTCTGCTCGGGGACAGTGGCTGACGTGCTCCAGTCTGTGGTTGGTGGAGCTGACGGCTGCATTTTTTCCTTTGGCCACATGAGCCTCGGTAAGTACTCTGTCACCCCTGTGCACCCATGATGTCTTCTAACTGTCCTCCATGTTGGTTGCTGCCATCTTCGAGCCTGGCCCTGGTTGAAGAAGGGGGTAGTTCTCCATGGTTGGTGTGGGAGTTGGGGGGTCTCACAGGAAGCTGAGGCAGACAGCACTAGAAGACAGAGGCCTCAGAGTGGCTGGAGGCTGGAGAGGCCTTCTGGGTTGGCCCTGAGGACCCTGGGCAGGTTCCTGAGCTGACAGGACTCTTGAGGGCTGACTGTGGAGAGTCAGCGGTGGTTCTCACATGCCCCTGTCTCCCAGGCAAGTCATATACCATGATTGGGAAGGACAGCTCACCCCAGAGCCTGGGCATCGTGCCCTGTGCTATCTCCTGGCTCTTCAGGCTCATTGATGAACGCAAGGAAAGGCTGGGCACACGCTTCTCCATCCGTGTGTCTGCCGTGGAAGTGTGTGGCCACGACCAGAGTCTGCGGGACCTGCTTGCTGAGGTGGCTTCCGGCAGCCTTCAAGACACCCAGTCCCCGGGCGTGTACCTTCGGGAGGACCCTGTGTGTGGGACACAGGTGCAGCAGCGCTTCTAGCCTTTCTGGGATTGCGGAGGTGGGGAGAGGGCCCTCGAGCCACTAACGACACGTGGCTTCTGCTTTCCTCTCACAGCTCCAGAACCAGAACGAGCTGCGTGCACCGACAGCAGAGAAGGCAGCCTTCTACCTGGACGCAGCCCTGGCAGCCCGCAGCACCAACCGTGCTGGCTGCGGGGAGGACACCCGGCGTACCTCCCACATGCTCTTCACGCTGCACGTGTACCAGTACCGTGTGGAGAAGTGTGGGCAAGGCGGAAGTAGGTGCCTGGGAGGCCAAGTCCATGAGGTTATCATGTCCCCGAGGGTGCCTCCCGCACCACTCCCCCGAGGGGAGTCCTTGGGTATTTCTGATCGTCTGGGTGGGCTGTGGAAGCCTCTGGGTACCCAGACCGCAGCACCTGCTTGCAAATGTGTTCTCAGTGTCTGGAGGTCGTAGCCGCCTGCACCTTATCGACCTGGGCAGCTGTGAGGCAGCCCTCAGCAGAGGAGGGGAAACTTCAGGAGGACCCCTGTGTCTGTCTCTGTCAGCTCTGGGCAGTGTCATCCTGGCCTTGGTCAACGGGGCCAAGCATGTGCCCTACAGGTGAGTGGGAGCACAGATGGGGGTACCAGCGCGGTGATCTCTGGGGAACTAGCTATTTAGATACCTGGCACTTCAGGGAGCTTCAGTACAAGACCAGTAGTGCTTTACGTCTCACCTCAGCCTCTGAGCGTCTCCTTGGCTCGTAGGGACCACAGACTCACCATGTTACTCCGGGAGTCCCTGGCTACCACCAACTGCCGAACCACAATGATTGCGCACGTCTCAGACTCCCCGGCCCACCACGCAGAGACACTCAGCACTGTGCAGCTGGCTGCCCGTATCCACCGCCTGCGCAGGAAGAAGGGCAAGGTGAGCCCCATCTCCTCCTGCCTCCCAGGGGCTGCCAGGCTGCCACATCCTCCGTAGCTAGCCCCCCTCCCCCAAATGGATGTCAGGGAGAGGAGGCAACAGATGTGTCCAGCTGTGAGTGGACCTCTTAGGCCCCAAGTCCCTAGTGCACTGAGCTGGGATAGAATGCTCACAGTGGGTTTATTTTATAAGGGGAATGAACACCACCTCAGCGGGAGACTTCTCAGGCACTCCAGGGAGCCTGAGGTTACCGCCCTAGGTCTGGATGCTGCACTTGCAGTGGCCTTTTCCTGCCTGAGCGCCCCTCTCCCCAGCTGGTGCCATGGTCCATGCTGATCACCCCAGAATCCTCCCTTATGTTCTGTGCCCTATAGTGTGATACCCACCCAGCACTTAGAGGCCTTGCTCAGCTGCTGTTGTCTCACAGAGACCACACTCCTATGCAGCTGAGAGGGCAGAGTCCAAGGAAGAGATACGGGACCAGGGCTGTGTGCTGACGAGTGGGTGTACTCACAGGGTTCTGTTGTCCTGCCCTCAGCATGCATCCAGCTCCTCAGGAGGCGAGAGCTCCTGTGAGGAGGGCCGGGCCCGCCGTCCCCCGCACTTTCGGCCCTTCCACCCACGCACCATGGTGTTGGACCCTGACCGCTCGGCTCCTGGCCTGTCTGGGGACCCCGATTACTCCTCCAGCAGTGAGCAGTCCTGCGACACCGTCATCTATGTGGGTCCCGGCGGGACGGCGCTGTCAGACCGTGAGCTCACTGACAATGAGGGACCCCCTGACTTCGTGCCCATTATCCCGGCACTGAGCCGACGCAGGCCCTCCGAGGGACCCCGGGACGCCGACCACTTCCGCTGCAGTACGTTCGCTGAGCTGCAGGAACGTCTGGAGTGCATAGACGGCAGTGAGGGAGTCCCTAGCTCCAAAGGTGGCTCTGACGGACCCCAAGCCAGCCCGGCCCGGGGAGGCAGGAATCCCTCGTTACCTGAGGCCACGTCCCCCAGGAAGGCTGTGGCCCCCACAGTGGTTACCAGTTGCCCTCGAGGCAGCCCTGGGCAAGATACTCACCGGAGCGCCTCAGAGCCCTCTAAGACTGGCACGCAGGGTGATCAGAGAGTGGATGGTACCTGGCCCGAGCCACCTGCTCCAGACAAGACCACAGGAGGCGGGGGCAGGAAGCCACTGCCCAGTCCAGCCCCTCCGCCGCCTCGGCAGCCGGAAGCTCGAGGAGTCCCCACAGAACCTGGGGGAGAGGGCGCCGACGGCGTGCTGCGGACACCCCCGGTGGGCATGAGTGGGCAGGCGGCTCGTGGGCGCCATCTGGAGAGAGGCCTGCTGACCACCACAGTGACCCTGCAGCAGCCAGTGGAGCTCAATGGCGAAGATGAGCTGGTGTTCACAGTGGTGGAGGAGCTACCTCTGGGCGGACTCGCAGGGGCCACACGGCCCTCCAGTCTGGCCAGCATGAGCAGCGATTGTTCCCTGCAGGCCTTGGCTTCAGGCTCCAGGCCAGTCAGTATCATCAGCAGTATCAATGATGAGTTTGACGCTTATACCTCGCAGGTGTCTGAGGGCCCCGGAGACTCTGGGGAGCTCCCAGAGGGAGCAATGTGGGCTGGTGGCAGTCCAGCCTCATCCATTGGTTCCTGGCTGAGCGACGTTGGTGTCTGCTTGTCTGAGAGCCGTGGTCCCACGCCACAGCCTCCCTTCAGCCCTGACTCTGCAGCAGGGCCCGGCCCACCAGAGTTTCCTACCCCAAACAGCTCCTTAGAGGAAAGCAAGGTCAGGGCCTCAGAGTGTGGAAGACCAGACAATCCTGGCTCAGTCCGGAGTCCCCACCCTGGGGAGGCGGTTACAACGACTCCGACACAACTTGGCAGAGAGCCTTGGGCCAGGTCTCCGCATGAGGCAGCCTCAGCCCAGACACTCCACTCCAGCCTGCCCCGGAAACCCAGGACTACCTCCACAGCCAGCCGAGCTCGTCCTAGCCGGGGTCCATACAGCCCCGGCAGCCTGTTTGAGGACCCTTGGCTACTCCGGGCAGAGGACTGTGACGCACGCCAGATAGCCTCCACAAGCCCAACCCCAGGCTCCCCTCGATTGCCTGAGACTCAGATAATGCTGGCTTGTGGCCAGAGAGTGGTGGATGGGTGTGAGGTGGCATCCAGAATATCCCGGAGACCAGAGGCTGTGGCTCGGATCCCACCTTTGCGGAGGGGAGCCACCACGCTGGGAGTGACCACACCTGCCTCGTCCTGTGGGGACGCTCCAGCAGAGGCAGTTGTCCATTCAGGAAGCCTGAAGACCACCTCCGGCAGTAAGAAGAGCGTATCTCCCAAGGGGGCCTTCTTTCCAAGACCTAGTGGGGCAGGTCCCCCAGCCCCACCTGTGCGCAAGTCTAGCCTGGAGCAGAGCATGGCCCTTGCCCCTACCCAGGCCCTGGGACTGACCAGGGCAGGGACTACTTCTGCCTTCCGAGGGGAGGAGGAAGTCAGGCCCAGTGGTCGGTCTGATTCCTCTGTTCCCAAAGCCACATCCAGCTTGAAAGCCCGAGCTGGCAAGATGGAGGTGACACACCGTCCCTCTGGCCACATGTCCCTGGAACGATGTGAAGGCCTGACCCACGGCAGCAGCAAGGTCAGAGATGTCTCAGGACGGCCACCAAGGGCTGTGCCCAGGTTGGGTGTACCACCCGCCAGCCCTCCACTTGGACCAGCACCTGCCTGTAGGAGCAGCCCAGCTAAGGGTGTTGGAGCAACCAAGCCTCCAGCTGGTGGGGCTAAGGGTCGTAATCTGGGGCCTAGTACATCTCGGGCACTGGGTGCTCCGGTGAAGCCACTGGCGCCTGTGGCGGGCAAGACAGCTGGTGGCTCTGTGCCAGGACCCCGAACTGTTCCACGGGCTGTGCCGGGTATTGGGGCCAAGGCAGGCAGGGGCACCATCATGGGCACTAAGCAGGCATTCCGGGCTGCCCATAGCCGCGTCCACGAATTGGCAGCCAGTGGATCTCCTGGTCGAGGCGGCCTCTCCTGGGGCTCGACGGACTCAGACAGCGGCAATGACAGCGGAGTGAACCTGGCTGAGGAGCGACAGCCCGCGAGCCCCGCCCTGCCCTCCCCCTACAGCAAAGTGACAGCACCGAGGAGACCCCAGCGCTATAGCAGTGGCCATGGCAGTGACAACAGCAGCGTGCTGAGCGGGGAGCTCCCCCCTGCTATGGGCCGTACCGCCCTGTTCTACCACAGCGGCGGGAGCAGTGGGTACGAGAGCATGATCCGGGACAGCGAGGCCACAGGCAGCGCCTCCTCAGCCCCGGACTCCATGAGCGAGAGTGGAACAGCCTCCCCGGGTGCCCGTTCCCGCAGCCTCAAGTCCCCAAAGAAAAGGGCCACAGGTGAGTAGCAGTGCCGTCCCTCTGTGGGCACAGCGCTCTACAGTTTGTAGATCTGAGAGGTCCTTGATAGTGCGTTTGGTCACCCCAAGGCTCTGATGTATCCTGATTCCCACCTCCTCCACACCTGGGTCTTTCAGCCCTGTGGGTTCCTCATTGAGAGACAGCTCTGTGGGGAGCTCTTTTCTTGGTTCTTGGGGGTGGGCCCAGCCTCCCTGCCCCATCTCTGCCCTGGCACCTCACCCTGTGTGGTCTCTGGGTTAGTCTCTGAATGCCAGGTATGTCTAGCTCTTGGTAGTTTATAAGCAGTGGGGCCATTCAGCCCTTCCGAGGGTATAAACTTTAACCTAACTGTGGGAAAGACCGGATTGCGAGCACACGTGATTATCAGCCAGACGCTTTCCTATATTCTCCCTGGCTTTGTTGTGTGTAGAGGTGCTCAACCCTCTATAGTTTATAAGCACTCAGTCCCAGGGTGCTCCTTTCCCTGACCCTGCTCCCTACCCGAGGTTGACTCTTAAAACCTGACAGTAAAGAGACAAGGATTTGGGTTCGAGCTTGACACTGCCCAGTGTCCCAGCTACCCAAGAGTTCCTGCCCCCCTGCATGGCTCTGGGCCCCTCCCTGTGGACCAGAGAGGCAGGGAGGCTGTGAGTTAGAGCAGTAAGCCTTACTATTGTGCAAGCCGTTGATACAGCCGTGCAGGCGATGTGACTAGACACCTGGGGTGTCCCTGGCTCTTTCAGGTCTACAGCGGCGGAGGCTGATCCCAGCTCCGCTTCCTGATGCTGCCGCCTTGGGCCGCAAGCCCAGCCTCCCTGGGCAGTGGGTGGACTTGCCCCCTCCCCTGGCCGGCTCTCTGAAGGAACCCTTCGAGATCAAGGTGTATGAAATAGATGACGTGGAGCGTCTGCAGCGGCACCGGCTACCTCTGAGGGAGAATGAAGTCAAGGTCAGGGAGGCTGCAGTCAGGCTGGGAGCCCTAGGGTGGCAGGGAGGGCTAGCTGACAGGCCATCTCATAGGCTGTCTGGGCTCCTGGAGAGGTGGCCAGGCAACCCCTGACCTCACTTTTTTTTTTGTCCACAGCCCTCCCAGGATGTGGAGAAGGTAAGAACTAGTGTGGACCATCCCCGAGCTTTCGTCCTGGTGCCCTTTGCCAGGGGAGGGTGACTGGAGGGACTCTTTCACCTACAGCTGTCTCTACAGAACTGGAACCGGGGTCCAGGAACTCCAAGTGTGGGTCCCCTGCACATTCTCCTCTCTTTACTTTAGGGGTTACCCATGTGTCTGTGTGAGGCCCCAAAGTGGGAGGAAGGCCTGTGCCAAGCCATGGTGCTGAAAGGCCCTAGGGAGAGAGAGTCCCTGCCGTTGATATCTGAACCCACTCTTCCTGCCCCTTGCCAGCAGGGCCCAGTGTGCATCAGCTCCAAGCTCCGCCTAGCTGAGCGCAGGCAGCAGCGGCTACAGGAAGTGCAGGCCAAACGTGACCACCTCTGTGAGGAGCTGGCTGAGACCCAGGGCCGGCTGATGGTGGAACCCGGGCGCTGGCTGGAGCAGTGTGAGTCCTCCTCTCTCTCTGTGGTGGAACAGGGGGACCCCCAGCAGATGCAGGATCTCATACCCTGAACAAGGGGACCCCCAGCCAGATACAGACACTCAGACCCTGAACAGGGGGACCCCTGTTCCCAGGTCTGTCGCTTCTCTGCTCTCTGCTGCTCTCATACAGCAGAAGGTAGGAGGGGAGGATCTGCTGGGCTGACACTTTCTTCTTGCGGAATTTGAGGAGCCTGGCTGCTGTCCTAACCTCTGCCCTGACACTATCTCTTTCTCTCCAGTTGAGGTGGACCCAGAGCTGGAACCGGAGTCAGCTGAGTATCTGGTGGCCCTGGAGCAAGCCACAGCTGCCCTGGAACAGTGTGTTAATCTGTGCAAGGCCCATGTCATGATGGTCACCTGTTTTGACATTGGAGTTGCTGCCACCACTGCCGTACCTGGGCCACAAGAGGTGGATGTTTGAGGCTGAGCACAGGGCATAGGCGGGACGTGCAGGGCAGGGGTGTGAGCATAGCATGTGGGATGGAGTGAGGATGTCGAGGGGGATTGGCAGGTTGAAGATGCAGAGTCTGTGCAGGACCGGACGGGGGATCTCAGAGAGGAGACCGAGGGTGGGGAAGGGGAGGGCCAGCCAGTGGACAGAGAGCACACGAAGATGGAAAGACTGTCGCCACCCAGACAGCCACACAAGTGCCTTTAACTTTGAGTAGGCCTTTTCTCCTTTTCTAATTTGGTGCTACGGACTCAAGACAGAACTCAGACACCAGCAGACAGACTCAGCCTAGGTGGCTGTGGCCACTCTGGCCAGACGAAAGCCAGTTTGTTCCTGATTTTGCCTTCCTTACAACTAAGCAGTTTTGTGTAGCGGGGCAGGCCTGTTCCGGCCAGCTTTCTTTTAGGATTGGGTTAATTTTCCTTTCCAGCAGATTTCTCTCAACAGTCCGCTTGAGTGGCCTCCACCACACTTAACAGTGGTGTCCTCAGAGTGTAGGGAGCCGCCAGTCCCCTCCTCTCCTTGAGGGCCCCACTCCATTCTGAGGACACCAGAGGCCACAAACTAGGGCTGGGTCATGAGCACACAATGCTTGCTTCCACGGCAGGAATTCTTACCAAAACCACAAGCAAAAAAAAAAAACAAACAAACAATGAAGCGAACCACCGCCAACAAAGACGGGCGGGGTGTGGGTTTTTGTAAAAGTTCTGTTAGCTTCATATTTTTGTATCATTTTTGCCTATAGAGTTTGCAGTGGGAATTTGAACACAAATGATCTAAGTTTTTATGGTTTTCTACAGGTATTCCTAGGTCGGGGGCTCTTGGCAGCTGTGAGGGGGCAGGCTTTTCCTGGGGGACACTGGGGGCATTGTGGGGGGGGGGGTCTATGGGAGGCTGTTCTTTTCAGATACAGATGAGGGGTGAGCCTGCCAGCCCGGGATGTAACCTGCACGCAGGTTCGTGCTTTCTGACCGTTGTGTATTTTCTAAGCATCCAGACCTTTGTACAAATGTGTAGATAACATCTCACGACTGTTTTTACTTGTGAATAAAAGATGTGTTGATTGTTCGTGTGGTTATGCGTTTCCTGGGTACCCCTGAGCTCTCCTCCCCAATGTGCTCATATTTTACCTTTCGAGGGTGCTAAGAAGGCGGCTGGGCATTGCGGGGAGGCAGCTACAGGACCTGAGGATTTTAGGGAGCCGTGCTGGGACTTGTTCTTTGCCTGTTCTTTCTATATGAGCTTGCGTGAAGTTGAATAGGTGGCTAGCAGCAGCCTGGACTTCAAAAATCTCACTCCTTCTTTAAACCCCAAGACCTTCTGTGACCCTAAGATCAAAGGTGAAGCTGGGGCCGGTGTTGGGAGCCAGGTGGAGGAAAACAGCCTTTCATGGTGGCTGCGAGCCCCTCCCCACTGGGGTTTATTATTTGAAGAAACCAAAGTGACAAAGCTGAATTCCAGAAAGGTTGTGGTGTCCTTTGTTCTTTGTCTTCCAGAGGCTGAGCACACAGGAGCGCTTGCCCAGCAGGCCTGGCTCCTCCTATGATGGGAGGCCTAGCCTGGGGTACCCTCTGTTACCTACTGCATTAATTTACCTCTCTCTTTGTCCCTGTGCCCAGTCCTCTTACAGGGTCCCACCTTGCTTTGGGCCCCCGGGGTGCTCTATTTTTTTTTTTTTTTACTCTTGCCTCTCCTAGCATCCCAGTGGCTGGAATACTCCCTTCTCTGGCCTCTAGCAGTATTTGTGGGGGCCTCTCCTTGGTGGCCCTGCTGCCAGGGCCCCTCCTTGGTGGCAGGTCACACCTTGTGTGGTCTCCGAATATGTATCTCCTAGCCTCGGTGGGGGCATTGGGTGGGGTGGGGTCTGAGTCATCATACTCCTGCATGGTACAGGGCTGGGCCCCAGAGAGCCCTGGGGGCCACTTGTTGAAGCTTTGAGGGAACAAAGGAATGAGTCTCCTTGGAGAGGGCCCTGTCTAGGGCAGGAGCAGGCTCTGGGTAAGACAGTTTGCAGATTGCCCAAGAGTGTTCTAATGGAGTCTGCTGTCTGGCCACCGTGGATCTGACAGGGCTGTCCCCTGGGCTGCCTTCCTCAACTGCAGCAGGTGTGTGGGGTTGGGTGTTAACAAGACAATTGGGAAGGTGCCCAGATTCCCCTAACCCCACGTCTTGTACTCTGTCCTGAGCCAGCAACACACAGATTCTGAGAAGAACGATAATATTTTCAGCTAGCACTGTGTCATCCAAGATGTTCTGTCCTTGGGTTTAGATGTTCCGTTGCACAGGGTATGTTGAATTGGGGGCTGTTCTCAGGAGAGAGGCAAAAAGCTTCCTTCTGTCTCTTGCAGCTCAGTGTCCATGTGCACTGCAGAGAGGTGCTATCTGCAGAAACAGCAGCTTGGTCCAGATAGAGTCAGCATAGAGCCTGAGAAAGGCCTCCCAAAGGGCCCCTGGGATAGGCTCTGCCTCCCAGGCATGTGCCATCAGGGCTGTGCGAGGGTGAGCAGCAGCTGGGACGCCTCAGCTACACTTACATCTGTCACAAGAGTGACAGAACCTTCTCCATAGAGGCATCCCGAACCCTGTCCATGCCAGGTACCTCTGTAAGCAAAGCCCGCCTGGGGAAAGTCCACTGCCCACAGTCCAGATTTGATTGAGTGGCACTTGCTTTTCTAGACTAGGAACCCACTGACCTGAGGCCTTCCTGGAAGCCTCGCATGGCCTTTCATCTGGGACATCAAAGCCCTCAGCCCTGTCATTAAGGGCTGGGAATCTCGTGGGGAGCAGTGTGAGTCCCTCTACGCCCATTTTATGGATGGGAACATAGCAGTCACCCAGAACCCAGCTCTGTAGTGGAAGCTGGGCCCATGGCAGTCTGCCCCGTGCCATGTAATGGGTATGTCTGCATCCTCCTTAGGGACGGAAAACTGAGGCAGAGAGGAAGGAGCTGCTCAAGCTCCTGATCTGTTTCTGCAGAGGATCGTAGGCTAATTCTGAGGGACCATTTCCCAGAGCATGCAGCCCAGGGGACCCTGGAGTAGAGGTATGATGCAGACCAGCTTTAAGGGATAACAACCAGCACGGACCTGAAGCCAGAGAGGCTGGGACACCTGTCTGGGCCATTTAGGGGCACAGGCTTGTGGCAGCTCAGGCGCCAGCTCTCAGGCTCAGAAGCTAGCCTGGCACCTGGCCATGTGCTTCCCTAAGGCAAGGTGCCCGCCTGACTCAGCCTGCGAGTTGGGACCTGTTCTGCTTGCCCTAACCACTCCAGCCCTGGGCACAGAAGGCCCAGTGGGTAGGAGGGGCAAGGAGTTTCCAGGACACAGTAGAGAACTCTAAAGAGGCCAGAGCCAGACTGTCAAAGCAGGCAGGGCAGGAGCTGAGCTACATGGCTGCACCTCTTCAAGCCCCCAACGGGGTGGGGTGATGGGGGGGCTAGTCCCTGAGCAGGGCCAGGTCTCTCTCTCTCTCTCTCTCTCTCTCTCTCTCTCTCTCTCTCTCTCTCTCTCTCTGTCGTGTGTGTGTGTGTGTGTGTGTGTGTGT